TTCTTCCCTAGTTCCTCATCTGTGTTTACTGGTCCTGAGTGGGCAGCAAGCTTAGTTCTGTGCTTATAGGAGTTTAGATTTTGTATGCCAGTTACAGATGAAACAGTTGTGATGTGCTGGTCTGAGGGTGTTTTCCTTCTACTCTGATGAGAAAATTAATTAATTGGTGCTGGTCTGGGGAGACTTGCTAACTTTTGTTTTGAGATTATTGTTTTCTTCTGTCAGCAGAGAATTCATAGAGGCCCAGTAATTTTGATGGAGATTATATGTGATTAAAATAATTTTTAAGCTTGCCTTTATTTGCGGCATTTAATGTATCATTTTCTTTACAACGTCTTCCAAGTATTTAAGCCAGCAGGTTCTTAGCTTGCGTAAGCAGTATGTGCAATGAGTGAATGTGTCACTGGAGGCTTCCACTCATGTGTCTTTTATATATTGTGAAGTTAGGATCTCAGTAATCAGGCAAGATATGACTGTGTGCTTCTTAAAAATGCACATGAAGCTGCCATTTAAATGTGTATTGTCTTAGATTATTTTTCCTTGTTAAAATATATTCATTGAGAGGACAGGCTGTATAAATTCTGAAGTACTGTTGTATATTTGATTTCTCACTATAATTTTTTTTTAAGTTGATGCTTTTTTCTTGAACTGTGTGAAAAGATTTTAAATAGCTGTGCAGGAAAATATGGATACATGGTATTTTGCATAAAACAAAAATGTACAAAAAGTGGTTTTATTTGTGTTTAAATTAATTGCATTTTTATTTCAGTTTTTAATGGAAAATACCTTCTGACTTGAGAATTTATATAATAGTCTGCAAAATACCTTTATGTACAATTGGTTGTGAGTTACACCTCTATTGATCTAAAAGCTTACACAGAACAATCCTGAACAGTCTTCAGTTCACGTAAAACTGGTGTTTGCAATTCTTGGAAGCCTCACAGCCAAAAAATAAGAGTATGAAAATAAAAATATATTTTGGTTGAGAAACTAGATCTTGTAGCTTAAAACCACAAACAAACTCTGAAACTTAGAATATTACAGTAGATCGTGAAGGATGGGTCAGTTGTCTTCATCCTTTGAGTTCAGTAGATGGTGGTTGACTAGAAGTGGTGCTTTGTGAAATGGATGAGTGTTTCTCTGGAAGAACCAGGGTTTAAGGGAATTGGTGACTGTCTGGGTGTATTTTGCCTGTGTTTGTGTAGCTGTCATTTCTCTGCCGTGCTTGCCAACAGGGTGTGTGTTCTTGTGGAGTGATGTGTAATCTTCTCCACTAGAACATGGAAGCATGACTTCAAGAAGTTTTCAGCATTTAGAAAAAAGAAGTGTGTTGTCTATCCAAACTTAAATGGTTGCACGTGGGAGAAAAATGCTCAAATGTTTTCTTCAAAGTCTGAAGCTAAAAGGGGCCATGAAATGTGACTGGGGAGAAGTTCATATGATGATGATGATCTCTATGCTTTCCTCTTGCATCTGGAGAAGTTGAAAATGAACACGTTGATTTAAAAGCAGTTTGTGGATATGGTTTGGTGCTTTTGGGTTTATTTGTTTGAATATTAAATACTGATGGAGAGAACTGCATGAGCACATTTTTTCTATAAAAGCTCTTCAGTGTTATAATCCTAGTTTCTGTTTCCTTGGCAGTGATTGGAAATTTCAGTGAGGATGTAACTTAGTCCTAAAGAACATAAATTCCTCTTCATGTATTGGATCTTAATTATGATCCACAAAATTAATTTTAAAAGCATATCTTTTGTGTCTCTGCAGCTCTTGAAATATAGGTGGCTTGCTCCATATGTGAACACTTAGGTTCAGTTTAATAAAATAGGTAATAATAATAAGCTCATATGCCCTCTTCTAATGCACAGTAGAGAAGATACCTGAGAAAACTCCAAGTGTGTATGTCATGCTCTCTCGGAGTATGAATGGGTCTTGGGAATGTTAAAAGCAGAGGGAGAGCTCAGTCTGTTTCATTACTCATGCAGACTTCTCTGAGCTGGAATGCTGGGAGCTTCACACCTAGTATCAAGTACTCTTCACCACTGGCTTAAGTGCTGGAGGATAATGATAAGGGGAGTCAAAGGAGATGTTATTCATGGATGCCTGGTAGAAGAACATGAAGAACTCCTTAAAAGTAGAGCTGGAAGCAGCTTAACCAAACAACAATTCAGTATATGAAGTGGAGGTCTCAGTATCAGTCAATGTTGCTGAATTTTTCCTCTTTCTATAAGGGCCCAAAGTTGAGTCTGCAAGGAGCTTGCTAATATCCCATCCAGATCCATTCAGAACCAGCTGCAGAGTCAACACAGTGAAACCATTTTGGGAGTTCTGAAGACTGTCTGCATCACTGGTGCAATAAGCCTAGCCTTGCTGTGCTGGTGGTACAGAGTCATTCTGCATGTCGTGATGCATACAGAGAGATCAGATAGGCTTAGTGTCAGATCTACCGTGCAGTACCTTTCTGCCGCCTTTCGGTGCATACTTATTGTCCTGAAAGTATGAACTTCCTTGAACTTCTCTGTAGATTCACAAGCATCTCACTGATGTAAATTATTCTGAGATTGCCAAATCCTTTTCTTATGAATGTTAGAGTCATGCTGAGTTTGACATTTTGTTGGGAAACCTTAGGCTTTCACTTGGCAGCGTGGTATACGCTTGCCCAACAGCAGTGCTTGCACTACTGAGAAGAATGAACATCTGAAAGCATTGGCAGGCTTTCACTCTGCTTTTACTTTCCACACATCACATACTCAACCTACTTTTTGAAAAGATGTAGCTTACTGGAAATTGATAACATTTTGAAACATGGTTGGAAGTTTATGCATTTAAGATAACAACTACAATGTCTTATGGGCAAACAAAATTTTCCATATACGTCATAATTCATCTGTACCTTAGAGAGTTCTGTAATTATAGGAGAAAATTGAAAAAGAAGGAAAAGAGAAAGGAAATACCTAATTTAGGAGCACAAGAATCTCATATGAAATCTTTAAGTTCTGCCCTACCATGGTACAACAAAGTCCAGTAAAACTCTGGGCAGGGGCCAGGGTACCACTTGTCTAAGGCTTGTGATAGTCTTCCATCCTATCCATTCCCAGGCCTTGCAGACTCATGGCACCATACATAGTTCCTTTAGAGGTCACTTTAGGAAGTGATAGTGTTAAAATATTGACTGTACATGGATAGATATTAGATCTGTTTTTGCAAAATCTGGCCATGATCAAAAAAAACAGGTTTGAATCCTGAGCTAGATTTGACTGTATATTTTTTTTTAAACTGAACAGGCTTTTCATCAAAAACCAGTAATGTGTTGAAGAAGTGACATTTTAATAGGAATGTGATAGGTGAGGGAGAACTTATTTTAGAGAAGTTTTCATATATCTAAGGCTATTGCCTGATGGTCATGACATTCTTATGTCCTATGAAATATTACAGTTAAGGCCATTGGTCTGGCTTCCTCTTGCAATTCACACTCCTTAAGTGAATACTTAAGTGAATAAGGAGCTTCTGGACCTGATTCATAATGTGTAAATTATTTAGTGTAAGAGGAACTCAAAGCTGGGTCCACCTCTCTCCAGGTGAGGTGATGTAGCCATTCAGCTGTAGGCAGCCCCTCTGCCTCTTTATGTGTTAATGAAGACTGGAACAACTGTAAAAGCAAAAGAGATCCCTGTGTCCACACTGTTCTGGGAAATCACATGAAATATATAAAATTGGGAGAAAGGGGACAACAGCTAATGCCTTCAATTGGGGTCCTCTAATTATTTGCTCTCTTTTTCTGTGAGTGGTAGTTCCTTATTTGGCTTATAATACAATCTTTCTTTAAGTATGGGATTCAACATGTTGCGTGCCTCTTCTGTTTTCCACATTTGGTTAGAGCTCTGAGTTTCTTTTCCTACCAGCTTTATCTACCAATATTTTGTGGCGGTTGCATATGTTTCCTAGACAAATTGACACATAAATTGGAATTTTGAATGAAATAGGACTTTGTTTTTTAATTCTGAGTATTGAAGTTGTTAGGAATGTGCTTTGTGTGAGTCTCAGTGTCAGTGTGTGTATAAGGGGTTTTTTGTCCCCGTTTTCCTCAGCTTAGCATGAGGCGACAATGGCAAGTTTCTTTTCCTCTTGCTGCTAACAATTCACACGTTTATGCCTGATAGGAAAAATAATGCTCTCAAGGTTACTGTATTTTTCATATGTATACATTGTGGCTTATCTCTGGCTTGAGAGTTTTGTTTGTTTTTAAACGCAGGCCAAGTCAAACCCTGCGGTTTAGCAGCAGTGTGTGTTGTGTGTACAGGCACAACAGGAGAGAAGTTTTATTCCATGGCGCCTTCCTTAGCAATATCCTGGTCTCTCACTGGTTGTTTGCTCAGTGGATATGAATTATCTGTGAACTTCTGTTTTTTTGTTTTTAAGAACTTTTTAAGACCTCTGAGTTACCTGAAGCAAAGGTTATATGTGGTGAAATACAGTGTTGTTCTAAGCCTCTGGGATATTTTTGCTCTACAATATCTATCGAGGCCAATAGAAATGGCTGTTTCATGATGTGCCATATACTGTTTGTTAGTCTGGGGCTGTAAAACTTGATTTGCTTGTCAGTCTAAGCAGAGGCAGTACACAGTAAACAGCCCATGCAGTAAATCAAGGTGTCATGTGCCCATATCATGTTCAGTTAGGAGAAATATGTCCTAAATATCCCCATTATATATCACAAGACAGAATCACAGAAGAGTGATTAGTCAACCTGTGGGTATTTTTACTCAACCTGTGGGTATTTTTCCACCTGTGAAAGTAAATATTTATTTTTCATTTCATTCTTGTTGTTGGTTATAACAAGATCTATTGACTTGGGATTTACCAGGAGCCAGTAACTTTTCATATTGCTGATACTTTCAGATTCCTAATAGAATTCCTGTAGAATAGAAAACCAAGATAAGACATTTATTTATTTATTTATTTTAATTTTCTTCCACCTCCCATTTCCCTTCTTCTCACAGAATATCTCCATGCATAACACAGTTGGAGGAGCAATGGCAGGACCTGGATCCCACCAGCTGACAAACACAAGGATGCCAAACCACGACACCAGCGTTGTGATTCAACAAGCCATGCCTTCTCCACAGTCCAGTTCTGTCATTACACAAGCACCTTCCACAAATCGGCAGATTGGGTGAGTCCATTTCCATTTTCTCATTTCTCTGGTTCTCTGGCTTCTGCCTGTAGAATCAGATGTTGTCCTCGTGTCCTCATGCTTCTTAAGGATCAGCTGCATGCAGGCCCAGATGTTGTTCTAGAGGTTTTTGAGGTTACTGAGTTTGCAATTGATCCTGTCAGGATGAGCAAGGACCCCTGCAGCACATGTTGCAGACTGTGGGGAATGGCCAGGTTACTCCAGGTATGGCACACTGGTTCAAAAAGGACAGAATGCTGTACTTGCTGGAGAGTCCTCCTTTCTGCATCCAGTGTTTACAATTTTTTTAATCTTTGTATGATCATACTGCATGTTTTTTCTATAATTGCTCTGGGAAGAAAGACAAAGTGTTTGTGAAGCTGATCCTTTAACTTTCTTCAATGGGAATTCTGGGTTTTCTGTGGGATTGAACTATTTCCTATGTCCCCTGTTTAAATGAGGAATGCTGGAAGACAAAAAGACCATCAAGATAGAGTTTGGCACACTGTGAATAGCTGATCAATTTGTGATGATGAATCCATATTTATTACCATAAATTGACAGTATGGGTGCTTATTGTATTGGCTTGAATGCCAATTGGGTGCTAATGTCTGGAGAACTGTATGAACAAAACCACCCATGTTTAGTATATGTTTACACCTGGTTACTTCCAGCAAGTATAAGATCCTCATAAATCACAATAACTTAATTGAAATCCTGGCATTGAAAACTGAAATTCTAGTTATTCTTGAGTTTTCTTTCAAGACTCTTGGTGTAGGCCACATGCTCTGTATCTCCCATGGTAGCTGGAATGGCCCATGGCACTGAGCTCTGGGCTACCCAGCCATACACAGAACGCAGATTCCATCTGCTGCCCTAATTTTGTGCTCCTGCCCAAGCTCCTCTATTTTCCTTTTTACTACTTTTTCAGGATTTGGTACTTAATATATAAATCTGGTAGGATGGGTCATGTAGAGCTATTTGATAGATATGCCCTTTGTATGTATTACATATTGACAAAACACAGTGTTCACATAAATTTCACATGCAATACCATTCAGCAAAGTTGTTGTCTTATATATGTCCCATTCTGTTCAAAGAGAGGGGGCTGGAAGAGAGGGAGGGGGGAAGAAACAGTTTCTTTTTCAGTTTTAGAAAGAAAAACATTAACTAATCCCATTATTTTTGTTAAGGTTGATTAAGCCGCTGTTCAAATTGTGACTTAATAGGTCTAGTGGTAATTATGATCCTAATTAAAAGCATAAAACCCCCCCCAAATTACTTTTAATACTCAGTGGTGAGGTGTTTTATGTAAGACTGTGCTTGTCTTCCAAACAATTGTTTCTATATAATGAGAAAAAAACTGCATGTGGTTTTGCAAGACCCTGTCAGTCAGGTTTTAGGTTTGTGTTGGTTCAGGGCCATGGTGATTAGAATCTCCAAAGTTGGTGGGGTTGAGGATAAAAAGGCCTTTTCCTAGTCAGTGGTGTGTCTCATTTGGGAAACTTTGTCATGACATATCTTAATTCTTCCCTGTGACTGAATCACACAAATGTTTCCTAAGTTTGAGTTTAAAGCTGCTTTATTGGGAGGCAATTGTCAGCATTTTAGTCTCTGTGTGAGTTGAGACTCTGTGTGAATGAGACTTATGGTGTGACCTCCAGCATACTCTGTTCCCCATTCTTCCCTCTTCCTAGGAGGTTTTGTTTTTTGTTCATGGTGTGTCCTAGGAGATAATTGCTGTATTTTCAACTTCCTCTACTTGCCAAAGGGTTGAGCATCCTTGTTTGCCTTCTTTTCCTTCAGTCTTTTCCCTGTGGTGTCTGTGTTACTTATTCAGAGAACATATCTTGTCATTTCTATTTATCTTCATCTTATCCTTCTAAATGTGCTAAGAATTATATCCACGACTCATTCATGTGGAATACAAACTGGACAATGGTTCTGTATTAAACAACTGAAAAAAACATCTAAATGAATTCAGAAAATATTTTAGGTCTTCAAAGTTTGGTTGCTTTGATTTAGCCTTGCAAAGTTGAGGTTGTTTAGCTATTTAACAAGCCCAAATTCTGAGGTCCTCAAATCAGTGGGTTTTGGTTGAGTTTCCCTTTTTTAGAAATCATCTGAATTTGCCCCAAAGGGTAGATGAGTCTTTACCATGAAGAATTGTGCCAGGGAAAATGCCTTTTAATGAGTAATAAAACCAGCAGAGAGAAACTGGGTAAAACTCTCACTGAGTTCTGTAAGAGCAGGATCAAGCCCTGAAGGTTATATAGAACCATCTTGTAGCAATATTCCGATTTTTATCACAACCACAAATATTTTAGTGTCAGACTATGGCCAAGCCACCTGCAAATGTTTATGATGGCCTTGCTCCAATGAAAACAGGGAACAGCAATGAAAGTCTTCATTTAGCCCCTGTTTGTAGGCTGTGCTCTAGTAACAGAGAATGGGACCCACCTGTGCCCGCACACAGCTTGTTTCATGGTGAGGAGTGGGCGAGTTTGTAGCAGCTGATGTTCCCAAGGGATGTAATTTTTCCTTACTTTTGTTTCTCTTTCTCTTTCTTCTCCCTTTCACCTTCTCCCTCCCTCCCTCCCTCCCTTTCTTTTTTCCTATTCCCTGCTCTGAGGGCTTGCACATAAAATGAGATATTGACAGAAGGCATGGGAAAACATGACAGAATGTGCATTGTTGGGCAAGCCTTACTGGCACAATGTATATCCACACATTGTTTCAGGTATTAAGCTTCAGCTACTACTGAACAGGCACCCAGCCAGATTAATCAGATAAAAGGAAGAGCATGAAGGTTATTAACTTAAAAAATAAGACAGGGTGCAGCCCCACTTTCCTCCCACCATGTTCCTTTTGCTGAGAACAAACAGCAACATTAGCATTACGGCAAGCTGGCAGGTTGGTATAAAGGTCCCTGATAGTATTTATGTGGTGAAGCGGTCTCTAACCTCCTTGCCATCCCTCCTCCCGCCCTGCCAAGCCTTCAGGATGTGGGAGGAATGCTGGAACTAGTAACTACTTGTGCTGATGAAAAATCAGTTGAGGAACACTTAGCAGTGAAGGGTGTCTTTGGCTGATTAATAGCACATCATTTCTAGATAAGATACATAGAGGAAAAGCAGTATGGCATACGGAGGAAGGTGAAAAAAAATTATATAAGACATGCATTTGTCAAAGGTATAGAAAAGCAGATAAGCTGAATCAGCTCAAGATATGGGACTCTGAACTAGGCTGTACAATAGCAGTGCTTGTCTTCTTTTTAAAATAACTCCATTTTTTCTGTGACTGAATATACAGCAGTGTGTGAGAGAGTTCTGGGCAGACAAATTGGTGACAGCACAGCATGGTGCTTGCTCTATCTGGACATGTCTTTTGCTAGGAAAGATGTGTTTTTCAGGCTATCAATTACTGTAGGTAGCTGCAAACTAACAGCATTCACAGAGAAGGTAACTTCCTTTCAATCTAGTTTTTCAAGCTAGTAATGGACATAACTAGTATTTGTTCCAGTTTGAAACTCACTGGTACAGCTCTGCAGCTGATAAATCCTCCATACAGCTGGGAGGATGGAGGATTGTCACAGATGCAGCAAGTTGTTAACATTGTAGTAAATGGAGAGTGAGTCCAGTTTCAGTGAACTCAGGCTCCAAAGTGGACATAGAACACTAACCATGTGATGTAGATTATCTGTTTCTAAAGTGTTGTAGAGCATTTTAATTGAGATAAGATGGTCTTCTGGCACAGCATCAAACGGGAAAAATTGCAACCACATTTGGTGAAATGCAAGCAGGTAGAAAAAAGCAACAAAAGGAGTTTGGAAGATGCTTCTGGTGCCTTGATGTTCTGAAGAATCATGGTACCAGTGGGAGAATAGCCTCTCAGTCCCCACATGTAGCACTCATTTTGGCACCTATGCATTGTCTTACTGTTCCTCTCTTTCCTCTCATGGTGCTGTGTTCGTCTCTCTGGTTTCAGTCTATCATCTTTTCACAGGTTTGAATGCTTTTCAAACAAAAGGGCATGGCAAACGGAATAGTCAAAAAATTGACTGTTCCATGCATATAGTGGGACTAACAAAGGTCTGGTCATTTGGAAAATGAAAAAAAAAAACTTCTCAGTCTTCACTGGAGGGTCTCAGATGGCAGAAGGACAGACTGTCTCTGTGGCAAGCACAGGAGTTTCATCATAGCATAAGCTGAGACTGTAACTTCTGGTTGAGTTTTCAGAGTATCCTGCTATCATCCTTTATAGCTTAAGGAAACAGAAGACTCCTGTAAGAGTCGTTTCTGGGAGACACTTGGAATAGGCGGGTGACTGAGAAGGGTCTTTGTACATCCAAGAAAAGGTCTCTCTTTAAGCTCTTAGTAAGTTGGTGGAGTGTGTGGCACCAAAGAGGCCACGGAATGATGTGCTTTTATTAAATTCAAAGATTAGTTCCCTTTCCAGGAAATCTGTGATAAAAACCTCTTTTCCAACTAATGTATTCGAACTGAAGTACCACAGTATGTTTTGAAATGAGAAGAAATGTGCAGTGAGAGATTGAAGCATCAAATGACCACTCAGTCACTTGATCAAGTCCATTCCATAGCCTTGATTGTGCAGCATGTAAGAACATCAGTGAGATCACTGTAAGGGGAGGAAAAGGGAAGAGAGAACATCTGACATTGTCATTCTGTCCATTTTTTTTTTTTCTGTCTTTGTAGTAAATGTTGGGCTTTAATTCCTGTTTAATGGTCCTGCTTCTTTTTCCTCTCCTTATACTAAGACATGTTTTCTGTAGTCTCTTCTACTACACTGACCTTGGCCAACCTTGAATGGAATCCCATCAAGCCACGTGTGAGCAGCAGCCACAAGTCTCTGGGAAGCTCAGGTGAATTACTTAGGAAATTATTACAAGTGAGCCATACCCAGGAACAAGTTGTCTCATAGCTTAGCTTAAAAGGGAGGATGATGAGGGGGAAAATGAGCTGGACTCTCTCAAGCTGTTC